TTCATACATTTCCATCAAGGCTGGGGCTCTCTCTCTGTATCTCTCTCACTGGAGCACAGCTCGCTCTCCCACACACTCGCTCTGCTGTATCCATCCGCCTCTGCCTTCATCTGCATCTGTCTCTCTCTCTCGCTCTTGGCTGCCCACTCAGGGCTGGCTTGCGCAGAAAGTTTTTGGGCGATTTCTCCATGTGTGTATATAAAGATTTTCGCCTATGCTGCTGCTACTGATGATGCTTGCTGTTGCTGCCTTTACATATTTCACTTTTAAATACACATATACATACATTCATGCTAAAATATTGCAGTATAGCTACATATTTTCACAGATTTTCCATCAATGGTTAATTGTTTGCCTGCAGCATCGCCTTTTTTGCACTGTTTTTCTCTTGTTTCTGATTTTCATTTTGCGTAGGTTGGAATTTCGTCCGAGCTCTGGCTCTGTCGCAAGAGCGTGGGCGATTTGCCTTTCGAAACGAGTCGAAATGAACGCTTTGCAAAATATGTATGTAACTTTTGCTTAATACTTTTGTTTGACTACTCGCACGCACCCACACACGCAGCCGCACACACCAAGGCAGACACAATCATGGAGCAAAAGGCAACAAATATGAAAATTCCTAACAATCATGTTCTGCCTCGACACTCCTAAAGCCCGGCCCTTTCAGTGGCATTTGCTGATGCACCTCGCGCGACGTATTTGTAATGGTTATTTTGTTTTATAATGGGCGTTGTAACACAATTAATACAATTTTTCCAATTCTTTGTTTTTTTCTTTTTTTTTTTTTTGGTCGCACGACGATGAATCTGCATTGACCAGGTACTTCAGTTCGATGATGGGGCTGTCGATATTTTCTTGACATGTTCGGTATTTCTGTCGATATTTGTTGATGACTGTTACTACCGATGGTTTTTAATGAGGGCATGCAAGGCATTGCATTGGATATGTTGTTATAATATAAAAAATATGAAGCTTAGTTAAAAAGTGTGTAAGAGTTTAACAAACTATAATTATTAGAGGTAAATTAAACACTTAAAAATATTTGGCTGGTATATCAGTCTTTTCTTAATATCAATATTCTTGTCACCGGGTATCCAGTGCACCATAAAGGTGTTCGTTAAGGTATTGTCCAGTATTTCTTTCTTCATTCTTCTTCATTCTTTCATTCATTCAGGATTTATTACTCTTCAGAGCCTTTAAGCCGCCTTGACTATCACAGATAATTGCAGTTTTACTGTGTCATTTTATATCAGACTGCCGTTACTGCCGTTAAGACTGCGTTAGAAATACAGATGAGGAACTATTTTCACTATTTTACTAGGGTAATCTGGGATACCTAACATCCATCCACCATCGATAGTGGCCACCATCGATGTTTTCCCAGCCCGAGTTTTCAGCGGAACTATCGATATAGTATATCAAAATATACCTTCTCATTTACAAAAAATATACAGGAGTCTTAAATCATATTCCTCGATTTTTATGTTCTATTTTAATTTACCAGCTTGCAAAGACTTTTAACACTAAACAAATAATTTTATCCGTTTGAAGAATCAGTTTCGATTATATTATATACTCCTTTTTATGGATTGTAAGCCTTATGACCTTATATTTTTCAAATTTGTATTTGAATTTTTCATTCAACTCGTTATGATAATGATAATAATGATATATGATAATGATGAAAAATCGTCTAACTAATTACCAATTTCTTTGATTTTATTTATTTTCTTCTTTTGTATGTATCATGTATTTGACTTCCCCACCTATCTTATAGGAAATATTTTAATTATTATTATTACTATATACTTATTATAACTATATACTAGTAAATTTACATCGAATATCTCAATTCAGGAATATGATATTCGATATTTTACGAATATGAGAATATTCGGTATGTTTTATCCCGTCGATAAACCAACGGTCACACTTCTTTCTTTTCAATTCGTGCGTGTGTTTTTGATGACGGAAAATTGCAAATAGATCGCTGAAAATGGCTAAAAAGAAGAGTGAGGACCATTCCGGTGGCGATACGAACGACAGTGACTATAATGAGGAGCCCAATTTCGATGATCCGCCCAATTTCGTGGACAATATCAGCGATGAAGGTAATTACAAATTCCGGCTCCGGGCCTGCCAGCGCAGCACACGCGGAAAACTAACCTCAATGATGCGATGAATGTGCGAAAATATAAATAATTCATATAATGTATTGCAGATCTGCTCGGTGACATGCTTGCGCAGCGTCCTTCCGAGGCCGACGGTGTTGAGAGCGTTGTCGTGGTGGACAATATCCCCAAGGTGGAGCCGGTGCGTCTGGAAAAACTGAAATTGGTCATCAACAAGCTCTTCTCGCACTGTGGCGAAATCGTGAATGTAGTTTACCCCGTCGATGAGGAGGGCAAGACCAAGGGCTATGCGTTCATGGAGTACAAGCATGCCGGCATGGCGGAGGAGGCTGTCAAGAAACTGAACAACCATCGTCTGGACAAGAACCATACGTTTGCTGTCAATTTGTTTACGGATTTCCAGAAGTAAGGCATCCTTTTGCTTCCTTGGCACACAAATTAAATGGTTCTTTTCTCTTTAAGGTACGAGAACATCCCGGAGAAGTGGGAACCGCCCACTGTGCAGTCCTTCAAGGTGCAAAGCGATCTGTACAACTTCATCAATGACCCCGATGGGTACGACCAATATTGTGTGGCTGCGGAAACTTCCCAGAACTGCGTACAGGTTGGCTTCTGGCAGAATGTACTGCCCGAGCCCAACGAGCTGGAGACAAGGGAGCGGTTCACTGACACCTTTGTCAAGTGGTCGCCTTTGGGCACCTATGTGGTGACGTTCCACAAGCCCGGCGTGGCCATTTGGGGCGGCAGCAGTTTCCAGAAGATCCAGAAGTTCCCACACACTGGCACCCAGTTCGTGGAATTCTCGCCCTGCGAAAACTATTTGGTAACCTACGGCCCCACCCCCACTGGCCAGAAGATTATCATTTGGGACATCCGCACGGGCGCTGAGAAGCGCTCGTTTGTGGCCGATGGCATGTCGGTGCTGTCCATGTTCCGCTGGTCGCACGACGACAAGTACGTGGGCAGGATGGGAGACAACTCGATCCACATCTATGAGACGCCCTCCTTCTATCTGCTTGATCTGAAGTCCATCAAGATTCCCGGCATCAGGGGATTCTCGTGGTCGCCCACGGACAATGTGATCGCCTACTGGGTGGAGGAGCAGAATCAAATACCTGCCCGAGTCACCTTGATGGAGATCCCCAAGAAGCGAGAAACTCGCAACAAGAACTTATTCCATGTGGCCGATTGCAAGCTCCACTGGCAGAAATCCGGTGACTATCTGTGCGTCAAAGTGGATCGCTACTCCAAGTTGAAAAAGGACAAGAAGGAGCTGGACGTAAAGTTCCTCGGCATGTTCTATAACTTTGAGATCTTCCACATGCGCGAGAAGGAGGTGCCAGTGGACTCGGTGGAGATTCGGGAGCTCATCCTGGCCTTTGCCTGGGAGCCCATCGGCAACAAGTTCTCCATTATCCACGGCGAGCCGAACTCCGCCAACGTGAGCTTCTACGAGGTGAACAAGGGCGTCAAACCCAGTCTGGTCAAGCGTCTGGAGAAGAAGTCGTGCACGCATCTGTTCTGGTCTCCGCGAGGACAGTTCATAGTGATGGCCAATCTGACCATGGGCACCTTTGAGTTTGTGGACTCCACCAATGACTACATTATCAGCGCGTCGCCCGATCATTTCCGTGCATCCGAGGTTGAGTGGGACCCCACTGGCCGGTATGTGGTCACTGGCGTCTCCTCGTGGAAGGTGAAGGAGGACACGGGCTTCAACATGTACACGTTCCAGGGGCGCATTATCAAGCGCACCATTCTGAAGAACTTTGTGCAGTTCCTGTGGCGTCCCAGGCCTCCAACCCTCCTCAGCGAGGAAAAACAGAAGGATATCAAGAAGAACTTGAAGAAGTACTATCCCGCCTTCGAACAGAAGGATCGCCTGCGACTCACACGCGCCTCCAAGGAGCTGCTCGAAAAGCGTTCCCAGCTGCGCGAGACCTTCATGGAGTATCGCAACAAGCGCATTGGCGAATGGAAGGAACAGAAGAGTCGTCGCGTCATGCTCCGAGGACGTAAGTTTTGGGATTTAATCCTTGCCAATGGAATAATTAATGAATTAACTATTTCTCTTTGCAGATGTGGACACTGATAACTTGGAAACCGATGAGGTCGATGAGGAAGTTGTTGAATTTTTAGTCAAGGAAGAAATCACTCTTCTGGAGTAGACGACCCCCCTCTACAACACAAAAACACTTGTCGTCGTTTGCCCCCATTTCGAAGTGAATCTGTAGTCTCACACTTGCGTGTCCGAGGCGCGTCTACGCCCTGGCCCATAACCCAGGGCCTCCTTATTATCTGGCCAAGTAGCGCGTCTCCTTTAATCTAAACCAAGCGGAACACCTTTGCCCATACATACAATTACACTTACACGTTTATTCTAAGTCCGAAAGTAACGTCCCACAAGCCAAGCCAATAAGAAAACCCGTTTGCGAACAACATTGGACCTTATTCAAATTGTTTAACTAAGCAATTAACAAGCACAACCGTAATATGCCCAGAACAAGATTAGCGATGTATTTGTATGTAAACAGCAAAAAGAAAACGAAAACAAATTCATGCTCGTGTTTAATCATTTGCGAACTATAGAGGTGTATGGGTGCATCACCGCCACTCGAGGATTACAATTTAAATGAATGGGTGATATAGCAGGCAGCCTTCTACACATAGTAGAACACTTATCGGATGGTCCATTATTAGCCAATGTCAAAAACCCTTCACGCACCTACCGTCATGTCGTGCAGATTGGTAAACATTCATATTTAAATATATTTAATTTGGATCGTGTACCGCCCGATTCGACTGTTTTTTTTTGTTATCGATAACCAGGGTTGCATTTATTATTGAAGTATTGAAAGCTCTCATACTACATTGTGAAATTGAAGACAATAAACATAAGCAAAAGTTCAATATTAGCTATTGCGTGTCTATTGAAATTTGATGGTGGTTTGGCATTTGAGCAGAATAAAAATCCTCTGATAGGACCATTTCAGCAAGTATTATCATAGCCTGAAGACGAACATGGCAGGGAGCAAAAAAGACATAAATACTGGTAACACAAACTCGTGGGCGCAACACTGTCAGCTAATGTTGATGACTAATAAATAATCTTCTTCCAGCCGACGCAGAAATGGACAATCATTTGAGATGTATTTTCTACATTAAGCCCAAGCCAGCTCCAACAAAATGTAGTCCATTTGTGGTGGAATTTTTTGGCGTTTTGAGCCTAACCGATCTTCGAGAGCCCGAGAGGAAGCTGTGGTACATATACTATTGTAAGCAGTCAGATATCGAGCACACAGTCCATCAGATTCACCAGAAGTATGGCAAAAAGAACATGTATGAGATATTCCAGAAACCGGTATTCAGTGGCGCTGCCTTGCGCGCCAGTGTCAAAAAGCACTTTGCGGAATTGAAGTGGTTTACCAAGGGAAATCTGCTAGAAGCACCCCCAAAGAGTCATTTCAACAACGAGCGTGTTTGTAAAACTGTAACGGATCTGCGCAACATTGAGCAGCAAAGAATTTATAACTATGTACTGGTGAAAAGTCAGTGGTACTCGATGTACAACCGTTAATTACCTCCCATGTGGTTAAGCTCTGTGATTTTTGATAAGTTTTTAGTTACAAGTGACGTTACTATAAACAACCGTAATTGTTATAATTGTCCATTATAATTCAATTTAATTCAATAAACTATTCTTATTTTTAATCCAGACTTTCGCTAAACTGAGCCGAGGTTTTGGGGCAATCGCTTTCGTTTCAACGGCAGTGACTTTTGGTCAAAGTCTTCTGAACTGTGGATCCTCCGACAAGGAGCTCATCGGAGCTCAGAGGCAGCACGTCAATGCCATTGAGGCCTGCATGAAGGAGCTTGCCGAATGTTACTCTTCACCAGATTGGCTTGCGGACCTGCAAAAGACAGTTAAAGGGTAACAGTTTCAATGTGGAAATGACCTACCATCCGACCTTTTGTCTCCGATCGTGTCCCTCTTTGGCATTCATCTGGATAGCACCATCAGAATAGGTACCTCGATGAACTTATGCCCCTCGGTAGAGCCTTGGCCAGGCCATTAGCTCACGCCAGCACCATTGCACCGTCCTCATGTCTTTCATTCGTGTACAGTTTTGCCGCGACAAAAAATATAAGTATCATCTGACCATTTTTAAGCCCTTTCAGAATAAGTTGGCTTGTTTCCTTGAGGGAAAATCGAGTCGGGTAGGGTAGATTAGGGTCTTTGTCCCAGTTTTTAAAAAATATTCTCTAAATTTAATTTACTAATTGTATTTTCCTTTTCAGTTTTTAAATATAGGTCATACTATATTAATACAAAATGGTAACAAAATTCTGTAGCATTTCCCAAACATAAAATTGTCGAAATTACAGTAGATGCAGTTAATCCAATTGAAAATATTGCAGATATGGGCATGGGACCCATTGATATTGGAGAATTTCCATTCGAATTGATCCACATTCCATTGGGACCCATTATTAATATTAAAAAAGATCCAATGCAAAATATTAATAGAGATTTTGAAAATAAATCCCAGAATATTGATTGCAATAATCTAAGCGAATTATGATCCGATCCGAGATCAAGAGCGTTGCAAACAAATAAATGGTATTGGATTGGATTGGAATCCCTTTAAACAGTCACAATCTCAATGTATTACTTTAAAAATTTGCAAATTATAGAGACCGAGAATGTATTTAGTACATACAAACATATGAAAAGGTTAAAAGCATGTTAGTCTAAGAAAAGTCATTCTTAATTATTAGAATGGATTTACATATATTATTAAGTATATTATTATATTAAGTATAGCAAATATATTTTTTTGGTTGACCTTTTTAGTTTTAATCTTATTATGCAATCAATTGAGGAAAGAAGTACCATAAAATCAGCGAATCCTGCGGAGAATTGAATGATGATTTGAGTAAAATTACATTTTTTAAGGTGAGTAACCTAACCAGCTTGTAATATTAAACTGAACATCAAAATCGAGGAAAATGATTTTAGATTCTCGGTATATGTTACGGTATATTTTGAAAATGCAAGGTATATTTCGGTATATCGATAAATCCGCGGTCACACTGAATGCGTGCATCACATTGAAATTTTAATAAATAATTTGTAATAAATAAACCGTAGAATAAAACAAAGATGGTGAGTTACAAGCTTTGCAGACTGCCCTTTTCAGAATAACGTAACAACACCTCGTCACTTAAGTGCTCGCGTTCTCCCAAAGATAGAAGTAAATCGCACCGCCACTATGACAGGTAAGCCATTAAAAGGAAAAAGGTGCCCCCGGGGTCTCTAACAGTGCAGTTGCAGAAACTACAAGCATAAACGTTCCGGGTCGTCTTCATCGTCTGGCTCCGCATCGTCTGGCTCGTCCAGGCACGAAAATAGTCCATCACTCAGGTAAATATTCTATATATAGATATCGAGTACTCCCGGGTATCGGCATCGAGTAGGCTTTTCCTTACGACAGGTCTACAATTCTGAATGTCATTTTGGAATCCTTCATTTTATTTTGTTCGTTCAACGAAGTGAGAAGTGCGAGAAGTGGCTCCAGCTGCTCGAAACAATTGAGAAAGAAAAACTATTTAAAAGTGAAAAAGCAAACGACATGTAAGAACAACTTTGTGCATTAATTAAGTTTAATTTTCCAACAGTCGCATATTTTATTTGAATTTATTGCAAAGCCAAGCCAGAAACAGAATTCAGAAGCTAATTTTAAAGCCAAGAAAATATTCTTCCCATTGAAACAGAATCAGGACTCAACAGAACCACACAAACCACAATTCTCAACCATTTTTCAAGCATGAAAATCAGTTTTAATTGCAAAACACAAGAAATGGCAGCCATTCTTAGTACAAAGCCACAAAGAAATTCAGAAAATCAGCCACATACGACACGACTTGCAGCCATTTTTCAAGTGTCGAAATCAGTTTCAGTTTCCCAACACGAAAGAAAGAAAAGAAGAACACCCAGAACCAACTCAAGATTTTCTAATCGAATTCCATTCCAACACAAAATTAAGGTCTAATTTGGAATGCTATGGGAACAACCGCAGCTCGGGCTCACGTCGCCGTTCGCGTTCTCGCTCCCAGTCCCGATCCAAGTCGCCTGGAGGACGACGTTATCACTCTAAGCGCAAGTCGCATGACCGTCAGGTATTCGTGTGCGAAGCGTGTGAACTATTCACGATTTCTTTAACGTGTGCAATTCGTAGATTGATGGAGGCTCGAACCGTTGCATCGGTGTCTTTGGTTTGAGCACCAATACTTCGCAGCAGAAGGTGCGCGAACTGTTCAGCAAATACGGCCCAATAGAGCGCATTCAGATGATTATCGATGCCCAGGTAAGTTCGGTAAAAATTACACTCCCCAGCCAGACTCCACCACACATGGCGGAACACAGCTTTAAGTGTTTGGTGTCCTGTCTGGTTGGATGTCTGGCTATATTAAAGTAGGTAACAATTGTGAGTGCTTGCTACAAAAACCAATGGCAAACCACTAAAGGCTTGTTTCCACATCTCACCTGTCCATGCTTATCGCCATGAATTCATTTTCAAATCCCTCCCTTCCATAGACCAACCGTTCGCGTGGCTTCTGCTTTATTTATTTCGAGAATGTCGCCGACGCTCGTGTCGCTAAGGATGCCTGCTGCGGCATGGAGATTGACAATCGTCACATACGCGTTGACTATTCAATAACCCAACGTGCCCACACTCCTACTCCTGGAGTCTACATGGGGCGTTCGTCTCGGTGCGTACTACTACTCACACTTGTCTAGAGTTTTGACACTAAAAACTGCATTCCCCACAGCAACCAAAATGGTCGCTCAGGATCACCGCGTGGTTCCCGTTATCGCGACTACGGGTCTTCGTCAAACAAGGATACCTACCGCAGTGGCGGTAACAACCGTTACGACCGTGAGTATCGCGATTACCATCGCGACAACCGCATCGAACGTGAATACCAACGCAATTATTCGAAGAGCTCTGGCAGCCATCGTTATGTGCGTTCCCGTTCTCGTTCGCCAGTGCGCAAGTGTAAGTACATGAGAAGATCAGAAAGGGGAAAACATAAATATTTGGCATATCGTTCCAGACCGCACATCATCCCGTTACGATTAGATATACGCCAATCGCCAAAGCCGTGCTCGTCGCCAGGGCCCATCCGGATTGGGTTTTTGTTGGGCCTTGACAAACAAAAGCGAGCACATTTGACTGAGTTTTATCACAACACTGGCGAGCATTTGACAAACTTATAACATACATCATTGGAACTTTTAACTCGTTGACTTCGTTGCTGTTGTCGCTGTTGAAAAACGTAGCTTGTAAAAATCGAGAATTAACACCTATTACTTATAGAAATCTGCCACCGAATGCGGACGATGCACAACCGCAGCTTAAGGGGCTAGACACTCATTGTGATATGATAATTTAAGCAACAGCAACAGCACCTAATAATTATAATAATAAACTTAACACACTAACCACCATGCATATTAGAATTAACTTTTATCGTATCCATCGTGAATGTGCAAGTACAAAATATTCGATTGCGTTCAGGAATTGCCTCCTCATAATAGGATATTTTGTAATTTTAATGATTTTATTAATTTATTCCCCATTAGCACTCGCTGGTCGAATGCTTAAGTGTAAATATTTAGTCTCTATAGAAGGTCTAATGGTTGGATTAACCAGCCAGTCATTTTATCATTAGCGTTTGTCCTGAAGTACTCGCTGGTCGATGCTGAGGGCACGGCATGCGCTAACTAACTCACTAATCTTTAGTTTGTGATTGTAAAGAGTCACAGTTCTGGACTGTACATAAAGATGCAAGCAAATAAATGATTAAGAATTTTAAAATAGTTTTCATGTTTCTTTTGAACTAGGATTAATAGCTGCTGTGGCGGTGGCAGCGGCCGCTGACGTGGAGGGCTCCGAGCGGACTCCGGCAGGAGCTCCTGTTGCCTGGGATGCGCGCGAGGCCTTGTAGGCCACCTCCAGAGTCTGCTGTATCACCAGCATATCGCTCTCAATGCTGCGTGCCCAATTCTCCACATCGCCCAGTTCTTTCAAGGCGCCGCTGAAGTTGTCTATCAGCTGCAGCCATTGATGAGTCTGCTTGGCAAAGTTGGTCGCTCCCACATGCAGTTGTTTCGCCTCGGCATCCAAGCGCTTTTGATTCAAGTAAGTTTGGGCCACGCCCACGTTTAGGTGTTCCACCAAGGAGTGTGTGAGCTCATTGGACGCCTCTATAGCCTCCTTTCTTCGCACCTCTGCGTACATTACATTTTAATCAATTGTGCAGCTCGAAAAATAAATTAACAACGGACCTTGCTCCTGTTTCCGCTTCACCTGCTCCTTGTGATGCTCTTTAACCATAGAAGTCAACATTTTTTCGCAAGTTTAATTACAATTTTTTGTCAACAATGAAAACATCTGTTTCTTAGAGATGGACCAGCTCTTCGATTGCATTTGTGGACTACTATCGATTTTTTCGTTATCTTCTGTTATTTTCATCATTCTATTTTTATTTAAAAAATGCCTAATATAAAGAATAAATTGTGTTAACATATTCTCGTTAACAAGTCAAAGGCTCCAGTGCCATTGCGCACGGGGAGACCGACCATCAAGCGACTTGAAGGGGAATTGAGGTCATCTGACCTGCCGAAGCCGGCGGCGCTCTTCAAGAATTGCAAACTCGACTCGAAAGACATTTGCTGGAGCGGAGATGAGGAGTGCTCCATGCCCTTGCGCGACAGAGGTTGGAAGGTGCCGTCAAAAGTCATGTAGGCAGATATCAGCGACAGATGCCGACGATCCACTGTGATGCCGTACACCTTGAACACGTTGCTCACCTCCTTGACAATGACTTGAGACGCTGCCTCAATGCCATAGGTGCGAGCTACGGCATGAATGTCATTGGAGTACAACCGATTCAGATCCAAGACCTTGTTGTGCTGAAACATTTCAACAATATTGATGCCATCAGTCTTCAGCAGCTGCTCTTCGTCGTTGCCCTTGTAGATGATGGCCCGCTTGATGTGCGGCACCTGGTGGACGACACTCTTGGCTGCCAGCTCCCGAATAATGGAAGTCAGATCGGGCTTCTGGTAGCGCACACTCAGATGAAGTTTGACCTTGCACCACAGATGATTCTCCTTGTCAAATGTGTAGTCCTTAACCATTTCGTTGCTAAGTAGCTTCTCCACCGACTTGTCATCCACATCGGCAGTCTCATTGCCATCTGCTACATTTTCCTCATCATCTTGGTCCTCTTGGTCCTCATCGTCATCTGTTGGCAGAAGAGTAAGCAACTGAATGTGGAATCTTTCTGAACCTAGAGCACTTACCATTAGCGTCGCGCAGCTCTTCAAGATCATCTGGATCATCGTAGTCCTTTTCATCGGTTTTGCGTTGCTTTAACTTCAGTCCTGTTGTGTCGTCATCGCCCTAAAGAATATATTACATTTGTAGAGAGCGCTGAAGCGACTGATGAACAAGTTCTTTGCTTACGCCGTCATCCGATGAATCGTCATCGTTGTCAGCAGCAGTTTTCTTTGAACCCATAAAATCTGCATTGTCCAGATCGTTATCCTCGTCCTTGTTGTTGTCGCTCTCCTTTTTGTCATCGATTTCAATACTAGAAAATGAATTTAATTGTAGTCCAAGGGCTACGCTACCACGTCTACACTGGCACTCACATTTTCGATGTCTTTTTGGCATTGGAAACCTTGAGAATGGCTCGAATAAGCTGCTTGATGTAGGTCTGGTGCATGTACTTAATAATCCACTTGGGCCGCACACCATAGTCCTCTTTGTAGACCTCCCTGGGCAGGAACTGGAAGCGCAGTTCATACTCGTAGGCCCGTTCCGGCTCCAAGCTCAAACTGGTGCTGATATGGACAGCTGCAAATGGGATTCTTCAAATAAATTAGTTCGATGAAAATTAATTTGAATACTTACACTCCAAGAGATTGGACAAAGTGACACAATTCAGGGATATGCGCAACTTTTCAGCTTGCGCTTGCTGCCCCTGCTTGATGGGTATATCCATGGAGGGCGTCTTGATGTTCGACGAGGCCAGCATGAGAATCTCTCGCAGACGGGGAATACCCAGAGTTACGTTCATCTCACCACGACCGGCGAAATGGAAAGTGTTCAGCGTCATCTGAGTGGACGGCTCGCCAATCGATTGGGCGGCAATCAAGCCCACGGGTTCGCCTGGGGCGGCCAACGCTTTGATGCTCTTCATACGCATTATGTCAGCTATTGTGTCCTTCTGGCTTGGATGTTTGCGCGCATAGTCATCGATCAGCTTGCGCGTCCGCTCCGACACGCTGCCATAGTAAAGATCCTGCTTGTAGACGGCCACTGATGGGTCGGGACAACGTGCGTACTTCTTGCGATACAAGGCCTTGTCTTCGGCATCGGCCTTCTTCCACAACTTGAGCAATCCCTCGTCAAAGCGGCGTCGCCCCGTTTTCCCATTGATCTCATTGGGTCGCTTGACCTCAACCTCCTCGCGCAGCTCCCCAGAGAAGTGAGTGAAGGCGGACCGCAACACGGCTGGCTTCTTTTTCTCCCAGCTGCGTATGTGCTTCTCATGGCTCAGCACTTTGGCCAGACTCTCCTCGTCCCTCATCAACTGCAGCTGGCTGGGCCGCAATATTGCTGGGGCATTTTGGGTGAGGAAGTCCGCACAGAACTTTCCGTCGAAGAACTTTGATTTGAGTATGTCCAGACCGTCCTCGCCGTAAAGGAACTGCACCACACTGTGGTCGCTGTCGCGAACAGTGAGATCATAGTGGACACTCAGGCCCTCCAGGTGCTTGATGAGGCAGCGTTGCAGATAACCGGAACGAGATGTTTTCACAGCAGTATCAATGAGACCCTGAAAGAGAGATGTTTATTATCCCGCAGTAGGGAAGTAAAACCAAAATCTTACCTCACGACCTGCCATGCAATGGAAGAAGAAGTCCTGTGGCTGTATGCCCGTCATAAAGCGCCCATCGATGAAGCCACCCGACTTGGGTGACGTCTCAAAGGAAGTGAAGCTCGGCAGGGATTTGCCCGATATCATCAAGGGCGGCCGCTTGCCTTCCAGCTCAATCTGCCCGAGCAGGCAGGAGATTTGCATGGTGTTGACCATTGAGCCCTTGGCACCAGACAGCACCATCAGCTGCAGATTGTTGTCGGGGAACTTGGTGATGAGGCCACCCGGCAAGCAAGTTCTGCAACGAAATACAAAGTATCAATGGAGAGAGCTCTCGTCGAGGAGGAACATTCTCGCATGCCTACTTGTTGATATCATTGGTGAAGCCGTCTAGTATCGATTTGTATTTGCGATCGAGCAGCACACGGAACTTTGGATCCTTCACATAGGCCTCCTCCATTTGCTCGGCCAGCTCATCGTGGGGCGGGACATCGTCCAGCTCTAGGGCGGCGGCAACGGCACTGTTTCCCACATCGCGACACTCCTGTATGATCTGTCGTCTCTTGCTGTCGGCCTTGGCAGTGACCAGAATGTCCTTGACGCCCAGCGTAAAGCCCTCCAGTTGCAGGAAGAACGTGAAGACCTTGGTGAAGGCTGTGAGCAGGCGTGTGGACACATCGCCGCCGTACAGCTCGTACATGCAGTGGATGAGGCCGAAAGTGGTCGCGCCATACTGCTGCTTGTCCAGAACACCGACCAGCAGTTCGCCTCTACGTATCTGCACCTGGCTCTCGCTGAGCTCCTGCTCCTGTGGATTGCTTCCATGCAGTGCTGGCCGTGGAGGGGCTACGTTCCAGTTCTTGCCTCCAATCTTGGCAAACGAATCTAAATTGATCAGCTCATAGCCGTCGGGAATCAGGTTTATAATAATTGTGGACAGGACCTGCTTGCCGGACCAGAGCGTGGCAGGCTTGATCAGGGCCGGGGGCAGCAGCTTGACATCGCCCTTCAGGTTCGACAGCCCCTGGAAGACCAGTTGCTGGTAGTCCTCACGGTTAAAAAATCGTCCGCGAATGGAAAGCTTGACGCCCGAGATGACATGATCCTGAATGAGGCCACCCAGGGGAGTGCCATCCTTTGGCACCAGGTAATTGCTGGCCACATTCACCAGATTGTAAGCCTCCGCTCGGGCCACCTCGCTTTGCGGATAATGTGCGTTCATCTCGTCGCCATCGAAATCGGCGTTGTAGGCTTTGCAATTGGAGTAGTGGAGGCGGAAGGTCTTCTCGCCGCTCAAAATGCGAGCCTTGTGAGCCATAATGGACGGCTTGTGCAGCGAAGGCTGACGATTGAGCAGCAGACAGTCTCCGTTGAGCACATGACGATGGACAATCTTAACGCCGTCCTTGGGATTGGTCAGCAGCAACTTGGCCATGCTGGCGCGCTTGGCTGCATTGTCAGCGGGTATGTAGGTGGTGAACCCATTGCTGTCCTGTATGTAGTTCGCACCGGGATGGACGTCCGGTCCGTTCATCACCATTTTGCGTAGGTCCGTGACATTCCACTCGGTTACGGGTATGGGATAGGATAGCTTTCGGGCAAAGATGTCGGGTATGCCGATCTCGTCTACATCTATATTGGGATCGGGGGTGATGACGGTACGTGCGGCATAGTTGACTCTCTTTCCCATCATGTGCTTCCGGATGAGACCCTCCTTCTTCTCCAGAACTTGCTTCAGACCCTCGGCAGATTTCACTTCACGCGACATGTTCACATCGAGCAGGACATCGACCGAAGTCTGCAGCGAGAGCCAAGCATTGTACAGCTTCTCGTGGGAATTCGCTCCCTTCATATCCTGGTAGGCGGCCAAGGCCTGCGACGTGAGCTTCTCTTGCTTGCCCCGCATATACCTAAGTACCACATTCAAGA